TTAAATATTGGACATTTTCTTCGATTGAGATAAACTGTGCAACTGCAAGTGGACAATTGTGCAACCATGTTGAAAGCAACATCAGTAGACCTGTTCTAGCCTGCGGCCGACGGTTACCCAATGAGATCTGGAAAAATATCGGTTAACTAGTAATCGCAGTAAAAACTTCTCAAAGAAAAAAGGAATTTTTACTAACCAGAATAGTACTAAGATGATGCAAAAGTGAAGAAGGCGTCTCGGAAGGACTTGTTGTTAGTTGAACTCTAAGAAGCTGCTGTTTCAGATGATTCGCATCTAGAAGACAATGCAGCAAACAAACGCAACCAAACCATATCTGAACAATGATAAGTAAACAATAGACTCACTGAAAAAATTAAAAAAGTGTAAAAGAGTTCATATACTTTGCAAACTTTCGCGAATTAATTCTAAAAAACCGTCAACTACTTAATTTTTGAATTTCATTATTTTGAAGTTTGACACAAAGTCTTATTCACTATACATGATTATATGTATATATTTATATACCTGAATAGTTTCTGAACTCAGAATAGCAGTACATATACACTGTCCAGTAGTGATCTGTGTATTATTTGAAGTTCCCGACGGTAACAGTGTATCAATTACCTGCATTTAATTATTAAAAAAAATCAAATTCTTTCAAGTACAACAAATCGCAAACTAAGAATAAATGCTAGCATCTACAGAATACTTATAATCAAGAGAGATTTTAGATTTCAACTAATTGCGATTTTATCATGCTCTGAAAACTCTGTTACTTCTATTACATAATTCTTTATCTATCAATAATAACTTCAAAGCTATTAATAAGTTTTGTAATGCAAAATTAGCAAAACAAAACTTACTTTAGTTTTGCCAAATTCGTTGTCATATAGATAACACAGGAAACAATAAAAAACAGCACAACGCAGTTTAAATGGTTGCTTGTCAGTATTCATTGATAATAAAAGAACAATTAATGACGGCCTGTAAGGTGGAAAAAAAAGTACATTAAATGAGAAATTTGGCAAAAATGTTTTATATTACGACACCAGTGCTTATAGAAAAAACGCAACGATATCCTCCAGAACTACCAACTATTTAAATAAAAGTACTATTTTATCCAACATCACATTCAATTTCAACAACCTGGCATCTGTAGCGAGTTACCTGTTTCCAACATCGGTTGCAAGACTACGAGTTGAAAAATATTCCTGATTCGGATAGTCACCACATATCACTTCTGCTACAGTGATAATAGCTTCAGTAAGAACTTCTACTGTTGCTACAATTTCCGATAACAAAACACTGCATAAACTTTTCAGCATTCCTAAAATTGTACTGTAAAGCTTGTAAAAAAGGAAAAAAAATTTGGATATATTGCAAAATCAAGTACGAATTTTAAATATATTTTGCTTTCTTATCACGGTCACTCCTCTCTTTCTTATGCGTATAAGAAGAGGAAAAAAAAAAAAAACGAACACAGTGAAGCTCAGCATCTTAAATTAAAGTCCTCCTTCTATCAAACTCAATAAAGATGACTTAAAAAATTTGACCGAACAAAGTTATAGAATGACTGATGTGCCAAAAAAAAAAAAAAAAAATTGTTCCATTCATTATTGAGAAATTAATCTAAACTCCAATGCCAAGTTTTAAAAGAACCTGACTGCTAATATAACAATGTTAAAACATTAGATTTACAATGGTTCGAAGTTAAATCTCACCGTCAAAAGCAAAGATTGCTAGATGGACAATTTTTTAAGAAAAATCCCACTACGACTTGAAGTTGTTTTTGACCGTAATAATTTAATCGAATTTCAAAATTCGATTCAACCTTTACAGATTTGTACTTGTTACCATATTCAAATAAATTAATAAAAATGACTAAACGGATCTTAATATTTTAGCATGTATTTTACTTAGCACGCTAATGCAAAATATGCTAGAAAAAAGATTTTTAATGAAATGTCAAATCTTTACCTGTCTGTGAAATAGCTTTCTGCGCAGCATGTGTGTTGTTCTGTGAATTATCTTGCGGAGAAACCAAACTTCGAATAACTTGAAGTAAAAATATTACATTTGCTATTTTCTGTTTTTGCCACTCATAATCGCGCTGTGGCAAATCTTCCTCACCTTCTCGTCCATATAAGAAATAGTTCAATAGCACTGCCAAACGCTGTATCAGACTGAAAACAAAATCAAAGATTTTTCAGATCTTGAGATTTTAAGGTTAAACAATTCTGCCCCTTAATTTGCTTCATTTTTTCACTTATAACAAGAGAACTTGAATATCATGATAAATAGTTCCACATACAGCATCCTCAAGATTGTAAGAATTCTAAGATATGTAGTTCCTAAATAACAAGGGGACATTCAAATCAGACTTTCTACTTTTTCTTTATATCATTAAAAAAGTGAAGAAACTAGTAACATATGTAATGAACTGTGATCAGTACTTTTATCTGAGAAAAATATGCACAAACCTGGCTTCCCGGAACAGTTGTTGATTCTTCGGATTTTTCCGTAAGAGATTGAGAATCACATAAAGACAGTCTTCGATGACGATACCTGAAATTGAAGCACAAGGTATGACAAAGCAACTCGAGAACTTAGAGTATCTTTAGTATTTCTATGTTTAAAAAAAAATACTTACTTTCCATGGGTTCAACATTGATTACATCAAAAAGAAGTTGAAATGAGTTTTCATAAGCCAAAAGCTGTTGAATTTGTGGATGTGCTCGACTTAGCTCACTTAGCATTAACACCGTATTGTTACGAATTATCTTGAACAAAAAAAAAAAAAAAAAAAAAAAGAAAGAACACAGTAAGCTTGAATTTAATTTAGTAAATAGAAACTCAATGTTTCATTTGAAAGCTGTTTCAAATGCTTTTGAGAGTACCTTGAAAATAGTACTTCAAACGGTGAGCAAAAAATTATGCTTCCCTATCATATTTGAATTTTTATTAGCTTAACTAAAAATAAGATACCTCTCTGGTATCGTGGAGCAAATCTACTAGACGAGATACCCCCATCGGTTCCTCAACAATAGCTGTTTGTACTTCACTAGCGCGATGTCGCAAAAGTGCTGTTAATAATTGTACTGCTGCTCTGAAACATGCAATTTTTATTTTATTGTGCATCGACAATTTTCATGCAAGAATTTCTAATAGTGCGAAAATTTAGGTTTAGTTCGTAGTTTTGTTCATATTGTTTAATGGCTTTATTCACTTAAATAAAGAAAAAAAAGTCGCCGATAAAAGTTAATGCAGCAGGTACTATGAATTGTTTTCATGGATCCGTGCACAACTATTTATAACCTCTGGCTACTGTTTCTTCCTATCTAACAGTCATTGAAATCTAGTGATTTCTATGAAAATGAAAAAAGCATACCTTCGAACAGCGAAATCATATGATTCAACAAGTGCCATGATCGATGTAATGAATGTCTTTCTCCGAACTATCATTTCCGCAAGTCGTTCACCAATTTCGTCCATCCCTTAAATTTTTTTTTCTTCAGCTGATTTGGCTATAATGGAAAAATATTTAATTCAACTAAAATAAGGCGCAATAATTTAATCTCGACCTTCATCACGAGCCTCGTCATCGCACAGAACAGCTACAAGTATTTCAAGAACAATAGATACGATCTCCGAACTATTGCCTTCTTTCTCCAGAATTTCCATATAAGCATTCATACCTATGGCAGCAACTGGTAATCGTACTTTCTGCAATTTTCCATTTCAATAATTTGCAAATCGTTTCCTCCAAATAAGATAACACAAAAGTTCATATAACGTCTTTCCCATGATAATTTACTATTATTAAAAAAATTATTCTCGGAAACATTTTATCACACATTAATCAGTGAACCATGGTGTTATTTATGATGATCCATATGTACATTTATAGGTTTTAATGCGATATTTCTTGACAAATTTTTCTTGCAGATATTCCAAAATTGACTAACTATATTTCAGGCTAACAATTTAACAATTCTCATCGTTCAAATTTTCTCTCTCTACAATTAAATTTTATCTATCTCACTCGTAATTTGCATGTCACAATATTTCTACTACTGTTAAAATTAGCATTTAAAAAGAAATAATCATAAAAACCTTAGCAAGTGATCGTAATGCTTTCAAAGCATCTCGTCGATCTTCAGGAACCGTAGATGTTTCCACTCTTTCCACTAAATTTTCTACAACTTCTGCAGCATTATCCGTCTCACGTATACCATTGGCTTGAACACCAAATAAATTCGTTAAAAATGCCATCTACAATAATTTCCTTCTCTTCTTCTTATACAATTACATGGATATATTTCTAATAAATACCAAATTTTGATCAAATTAATCAATTAGTGGCCATATAATTCATCATCCAGAATGAAAATATTTAAAGATAATAAAACAATTGACCTGGAAAATGATATATCAACTAAAATACTATAAAATTTAAAAACGAAAAAGAAAGTAACTCAATTATAAATTAATCAATAAGGCAACAATGAATGGCTTAATAATCACAGTAAATTCCAACCAAACACAACGATGAAAACCATCCGCCATCATTTATGTTGCATAACTGAACTGGAATCAAAATGGTTTCGTGTCATTATGCCAATTTTCGTGTTATTGTAACCTATTGTCAATGTTATTATTTGTCATGGTTTGGAGGATTGTTTAATTCATTTTCTTTTTCTGTTATGTTTAATATGAGTAATAATGATTGATAAATGTTTCAAATGGGTAATAATGATTGATAATATTTTATTTAAAACATTTCGATAATTGAGATTATAGTTATGTGCAACGTTAAAATTTATTTTGAAAATTTTGTTCTAATTATGACATTGAAAAATTTGATATGTGCATTGGAAAAATGATTGTTTTTTAGTAGTTAAATTTAGAAGTAACGAGAAAATTTACATAAAATCGTTCTTTTGAACGATTTAAAGAATTGGTTTGTTTTCTACAATTGTAAGAGGAATTAATGAGGCAAAATGGCTGATACAGCTGTTGCGATTTCATCACCATCCTCATTTCATGTTCTCAAGGTTTTTTTTAACATTATACATAATTTAGCATTAAAATTAATTCATTTAATTTATTTTTAATGTTTTTTCAAGCTTAAATTTTTTGGAAATTATTCGCAGAATACTTCATGGTCAAATGATTTTTAGAATTTACCGAAGTTGTCGCTTCCAGCATTGGCTCCAGTGCAAGTTAACATTAGGACTGTGTCGTTACATAGAAATATTTCTGGTAAGCATAATTCTTATAGTTGATGGTTTAATTCAGAAAATTTTTATGAAAAATTTCTTACATCTAGTGTCATTTTGAAATTTAAAAGCGATATAACTGAGATTCATTCACTCTGTTTTAAGTGAAGATCTTTAAAGTCATCCTTCCCTTTTTTTCTTTTTTTCAGGTGACTTTGATTTTATTGTGCGGCGTACGCAGATTCCTGATAAACAGGGGAAATTGCATGCTGTTGCCTTTGTAGAACCTGTGAAGTTTCGGGATGGTCCACCACGACCAAACGATATTCGATATGGGTTACTACCAGGTGATCAATTGCTACAAATTAATGGTACTTCAATCGATGTATTAAGTCGGAACGATTTATCAACTCTTATGGAGGTTTTAATTTTTTTTTCGGCTTTGTTATAATTGTGATATTTAGCCATATGTTGTTGAATCATCAGTTTAATCAGCAGTGATAAGCGTTTTTCAATTAATCCCATAAACATACATACATTTAGATGTAGTTCTGAAAATTTCCGATTATATAAAACGAAATGGATATATCAGATACGAAATGAATCTAGTAGATGTGGAATTTTAAAGATATCTCCATTTTCTTTTAATCCGATTTTGCTTTAAAAATAAGCGCGCACCCTCCATTCTTATAATATTTTTTTTGGAAAATTGGAAAATTATACTGCAATCTGTAAATAAGCAAGTTTATTGATGGAGTTACGTCAAGAATTGTCAGAAAAGCTACTCTTATTAAAATATAAAAGATGAAATTAGGAATTACCCTTATCGTCTTATGTTTTCTTCCGTTCTGTCTTTTTGTCACCAATTTATTCATCCTTTTTTATTTCCCTATCTAACTTACTGTTACCAGTTCACACTACGAAATAGCAAAAAAAAAAAAGAAAAACTACATATTCAAAAAGAAGTTCTTGTTTTGCTTTCATTAAACCTGGACTAGTAGTACTTTTGAATCGTTTCTTTAACATGATAACATTCTAGCTCATAATAGAGTACAGTTAGGAATAGTTCAATAGTTAACTGGAATAAGTGGAGGTTGAACCAATGGCAGTTTTGAAGTTTTTTTGATATGTTGGAGTATAGATATGGTTATCTGATTTACTTTCCAGTACTGGGATAACATTATAGATTACTGGTTCTGAAATTTAAATGTCACAGTCTGCTAATAACCATTATTACAGCGTTGTGGATCAACTATTGAGCTGACGGTAAGAGCTGCACCGGAATTAGCTGAATTATGCGAGCGGAATGAGTTGGATCGCTCTGCTATTGGTGACTCCCTGATGCTTCCTGCAAATGCGAAATATCAGGCTAATGCGGTGATTTTTTTTTAGAGGAATTGTGGGTTTTAAGTGAAATTTTGGAAATGAAATTAAATATGGAAGACTTCAAATTATAAAGCAGTTTAATGATATAGAACACGCCGGAAGAGGAACGATGCTGGTTGATTCATAAAAATGGTTTTACTCTCGCGCGTTTATTGGAAACATTACCAGACGGGAGGATGAAAATAAAAGTGATGGATTTGGAAATGGATGTTGATGTAACGGATGTTGATAAAGCAAATCCGTCATGCTTAGATCGTGTTAAGGATCTTATCAGGTTATTTTCTTTTGTTCTTTTGCAGATTTTTATTCAACGCACATATGAAAAATTTATCGTAATTTGAACAAATGATTTGAATAAGTCTCAATTTAATTTTTCATGAATTTCCCTGCACTTTTTTTTTTTTAATTTCTCCCTTCATTTCTTTCTTTTCTAGTTTACGCTATATAAATGAAACGAGTGTGCTCCATGTACTTCGTCAACGTTATGGTAGTAATTTGTTTTACACGTACGTTGGTCCACGGAATATCATATGTCTGGCAACTGAAGGTCCAAAGACAACAACGACAGTTTCGCTTTTCAAAGGTTGCAGACGTCAGCAGATTCCACCACACATATATTCTTCTGCACAGCAAGCCTACAGGTAGTGTCTTCAATTTCATCTCGAATCCATAGTGAAATGTACATGTTCCTGTCCGTTGATGTTAAATACAAACTGTTAATTTTATCTTCCACTGTGGTCGGTGATGGCTAGATATCGACTTTTTAAAGAGCTTTGCAAATGTCGGGAAGAAACCAGTGCATTACATTGTCGGGAACATCTGGTAGCGGAAAAACAATGCAACTACGAAATATATGTCGTTATTTTTGTGAAGTAGCTGGATGGACCAAGGCGTTGTCATGTAAGTCCATCATAATAGAGTTAATTTCACTTTTTGACTCAATACTTTAATTTGAAATAAGTAAAAAGTAGTTTTTAGCGGTCACTAAAATATTTACTGTATGTACCATCTGAACAGGCTGCAGGTCAAAACATTAAATAAGTTGAAATACAGTCAGAAATCATGAATTTAATTCTTGGTTCAGGAATTTATATTTATTTATTATGCTATCGTTACTTAAAGATTAAGAAATTGGAAGCTTTTTTTGATAGAATTCATCATTTTTTTAGGTTAACAAGTGTCTACTTTTTTCCTTGTATATCATGTGTTTCAGATGATATAATATCGTCGGCTCTATTTGTTTTGGAATCATTCGGTAACTGTAGAACGAAAAGTAATGGGAATTCAACTCGATTTTTAATGATGTTCTCGCTTTCATTTGATACTGTAGCATCATTAAGGTAATTTTACTTCAGTTCAAATCTTTTAAAGTTTCTCACAAATTTATCTCATCCAAAACATCACTTATATCACTGCGAGTCACCATTTGAAAAGTGACGATTTCGAAACACTAATTTTCCTAGAGTTTACTGATTCATGCAATGAGAGGATAAAAAAATACATATGCATAGTATTGTTAAAATTTTGTATCAGTTTAGTTCACTTTAATTCTTATGAGGACGCACATTCATAAATTACATGTATAAGATATTGTATATTTTAGGAATGCTTCCATACAAACATTTTTATTGGAAAAAACTCGTGTAAATCGTTGTGTCACTGACGGAAAGGTATTTCATGTAATACGTTATTTTTTGCAAGGAGCTGATTCAGAATTAGTGGCAGCATTCAAACAGAAAAACAACGATTCATATGCTGACTGTCAAAAAGTATTTCATTTTATATGTAATTGGTCATGTTTTCCGTATCATATTCTTTGTATCCGAAATTTCTTAGGTCCTTTTCAAATGCACAATATATCTGGAATTTGACCGTTTGTATTATATATGATATGGGAAAAGCTTGAGAAATCTGGAAGATTAATTCTGGATACCATTAACTTTGCCATTTTTTTCTTCAGGATTGGTTGAAACTGTTGGATACGTTTACGAAATTGAGTTTTACGGAAAAAGAGAAAGCTGCAGTCATATCTATCCTTACAGCAATCCTACATCTGATTTATGCTGAAGCTACACAGAGTGATGCGCCAAGATCTCAATTTATACACATGCAGCATGCTCAGCAAGCTGCTTCATTATTGGGGCTAGAAATAGAGCAGCTTACTTCAGCTGTTTTTCGTAAAAATCTTTCAGATACTATATCCACTAATCCTGTTAGGTATTTTAAATGTTTTTCTGCATTTTTTTTATGCTCTGTGGACCATCGTTATATATTACTAAACTTTTTTTGTATCCGACGATTCATTGTTTAAGTTCCAGTTAATTATTACCTGTTACTAAACTAAGTTGCTAATGCTAAGATGTTTCGGATGGTATAATATTTAGAAGTGTAGATAGAGCGGAGAAAAAATGCATATTTTTAATTTTGTCAATTATCATCACGAATATAAATTTGAAGATCAATTATTATCCCATTTGTTTTTAGCCGATTTTCGCTATCAACACGTAATCAAACTGGACAAGAAGCTTTGAATCGATTTACTGCTTGTTTGTATAACGAACTGTTTGACGCTATTGTTCGTTTATTAAATCGCCGCTTAGGGGAAGGTGGTTCAGTGTCATCTTCTACTATTACTATTGTTGATTACCCAGGAAGCCAGTTTGGGTCATTTAGTCCGGTAGAGTTAAATATTCATATCTTTAAACTGGTTGTGTAATGTTTGAACTGAAAAGAAATATTCTGCTAATTTTGTGCTCCATTTTGATTTTTACCTGGTGGTTTTTCAGGATGCTGTTCATCCACGTAACCTCAATGATTTGTTATACAATTATGTAAATGAACGATTTGCGGAGCTCTACTATGATGTATGCTTTAATGAACCTGTGGAAATGTACAAAAGGGAGCAAGTTGAGGCTGATGTTGAGCAAACTCAAAATTCTCCACACGAAATTTGTCGATTAATTGATCAAAGACAACAACTAGTAATTTGTTGCATAACATTAATCCTAAAAATAATGAAAGCACTAATAAAGTTGAATTTTAAGAATTTGTTTAAAAAAATTTTAAGTTTTTTTTAAGAAAGTTTAAGAAGTAGGAGATCACTCTACGCATAGCTATTTGAAAGAGATTGACAGTACTTGCTATCCAGCTCAAACATCTATAGTTTTAAGGTGAATGAACAAACTTGTACTACGCTAAGTTTTCTTTCATTTTAAAACGAATACAATTATTTCAGTCAAACTGTGTTGATATTGAATTGCGAAGCACAGAAAAGCGTGGTCTGATGTGTATTTTGGATGAGGAAGCACTGTTTCCGGGAGCAACAGACGATTCTTTCTTAGAGAGAATCTTCGTTCATCTGGCTGATTCACGTAAGTTTTATTTCTTGAATACTAAAATAGTAAGCAATAGCTTTTTTCGTTTTTTGTTTTAGACTTGATTCGAAGGGGCACTAATCCGCTGACATTTGCATTACGGCACGGTTTTGATAGCAGTTCTGTTACATATAGTGTTCAAGGCTGGATAAAAGCTGCGCAGTCTGATTATACCGATTTCTCGCTTACCTCTTTATTGTGCAAGTCAAATAAGTAAGTTTGTTTGAATATTGCTGAACTAAGACAACGAACAAATTACAATTATATTCCATAATCGAAATAGTGGAATATAGTGAGTAAAGAGTTTTCATTCTCTTAACAAAATGACGAAGCTTTCATTATTGTTTTACCATATGGTTCGCAGTCCTAATTTGAAGTATACTTTTGGTATTCTAGAGAATTTCAATGATCCAGAATTATATCTGTAATAGAGAGAGATAATAGAGATATAATAGAGAAGCCAACATAGAGAAGACCCTTCATTCGTATTCATTTGACGATACGTGATTGTATATATGCAAATATTTTCATTCAGCTTAACAGTTAAAACTATGTTTTCACCGGTTACTAGCCCTGTGGCTGGTAATACAACATTGAAAATGCGGAAAGCAACACAAACAATCAAGCTTGACGCTGCTGGTGTACGCGTGATTTCTGGATTTTTTGCTGATTTTTGCTTTCAGTTGGTAATTTTTGATGTTTCTTTCCATATTTTACTAATTTTTATTTGGACCCAATTTTTCTGATAGATTTTTAAAGCCATCTGTTCATCGCATGTTTCGTAATTGATCATTATATTCATTCGTTTTGATTTCTGAATGAAAATATGTTGCAAAGTTCGGCAGTCAGAAAAAGGGGTTACTTATTATATATGTTTAAAAATATTATTTGAATTATAGGATTGCATCACATCATGTATCAAAAGAATCAGTGGTCTTCATTTTGTACACTGTATTCGGCCATTGTCTACAGTTGATATGCATGTGCGACCTGATGAATTCCTGAATATACAGTATGTCCGAAATCAGTTGCGCTACCTCTCCTTAGTGAATTCAGCTCGTGCTGCAAACCAGGGTATACTATGTTTTTTTTATAGCAACAGTGTTTAAATATTTCATCAATGTTGTATGATTGGTTTTCTTTTTTGTTTGTCTTTTTTTCGTTCATTTATTCATTTATCTTTCACCCATTTATTTCGTCACATATTGTACTTCTAGTTTCTCGTAAATTTTGTATGTTTGTAAAAAGCTTTTCATCGCTTTATTTTGACTTTGTTACAATTCTCATTTTCAGGTTTTCCGGAACAAATTCCTTATAAATATTTTCGATGTCGTTTCCAGTGTTTGCTGAAAGAACAGAATACTTCAAGCGAATACATGGATGATCGAGCTATTTCTGGCAAAATACTGGAGGAATTAGGTGCATTTCCGCATCGGTATCGATTGGGCTTAAGCCAGGTAATTAGACATTTTAGCTGAATTTTTGTATTAGTGTAATCAGTTTGGCTAAGCTTACTGTTTCATCGGGTATCATGATGGCATTAATTTCTACGAGTAAGCAAATTTATTAGATCACATAAGCAGTGAAAGTATCAGGTTCTTCTACGTAATGATTTACTGGACGAATTGGAAGAACGTCGTGAACTTTGTTTGAGTGGTCTTATTGAACATTTCCAACAAGTCTGTCGTAAATACCTGGCTATGAAATGGTTGGCTAAGCGACGTGTACAAGAAATTGCCATACGTTGCATACAACGAAATGGTCGTGCCTACGCAAAAGTACGTGAATGGCATTGGTGGCGTCTTTACATTCGTGTGTCGCCGCTTCTGGCAGCAACAAGGTTCTTTGCTTTCTTAAATTATTATTTTCCAGAAAATAGCAGTCTTTGTGTCTTTAGCAGTGGACACCTTGGTTTCAAATTTTTTAGATGTGATCGTGAAAATCGTGAGTGGGAGCAGAAACTAGATGAAAAAGAGAATAAAATCCAGGAATTACGTATATCAAAAAACCGCCTAGAAGCACGTGTTGTGGAATTGGAACAACTGTTAGTTGTTGAACGTGGGAATGCACAGTCGATGAATGATGCTCTAGAACGCGAAGTAGAACATCGTCTTCAAACTGAGAAGCAAGTACTGGTATTAAAACAGCGTTTTCACGGTGAGCCGTACACTTTTCACTTGCAATAAAAGTAGAAGGAATGTCTTTCTGAAAATTTATTTCCCGAAATTCTAAAATTTTAGATTCAAAAGAAGATTCACCTATGTCTTCATCATGTTCATCTCATTTACGTCTCGATCAGAGTACACACATAGACGCTAAGGTTAATTATTTCATGCTGTTTTAGTTATTTGACCGGTATATTTTGTATGTGTATTATCTCTCTAAACTGTATTGTCTAAATTTTTTTTTTTTTTTTTTTTTTTTTTTTTTTGCAGATTGTAGAGTTACAAAAAGAAGTTGCGGCGTTGAAAGAAAGTGATTCAGTGCAACGTTTAAGAGCTCAGAAAGCAGTGCAGCAATTGAAAGATGTTGAAAATGAATTGAGAGATCTCAGAGCAAAGAACGACATACTGGAAAAGAAGTATAAAAAGTATGTGATGGTATACTACTTAATAAATATTCTGAATGTATGCTTTTGTGTAAAGTGCACGTTTATGTGACTAGTGCAAAATTTCTTTGTTTTTTAGTTTTGATGCGAATTTAAAAACTGTAAAAGACAATAGCGAGAAAGAAAGAAAGGAACGGATTAAAGCTGAACGCGAACGAGAAGAAGCCATCAGTAATAGTGAAAGACGATTTACAGAATTGCAGGTATAAATTACTTATTTTATGATCCTCTTCTAAAAGAATCATAAAATGTCATATTTTTGATGTAGTACATAAATTTGGCTCTTTCATTGGTGGAAGAAAAGATTTGAAAGAATTTCCACTTTTTGTAGATATTTTTCAGGTCTTCATCTTCATTTTCGTCTGAAGATTTAGACTTAAATTTCGCATCTCCACTGCTGTGATCGTTTTTTTTCTTCTAGCTTGAAAAGGATATATTACCAATTATGTTTCTAGCTAGATTTAAAAACGTTAATACTTTTCAGAATTTAAAGGCTGAAAATGGTGAGTTGCGCCAGAGCGTTGCAAAGCTGCGAAAAGAATTAGAAGAGCTGAACGAAATTAAGGAAGGCTCTACAGAAAGTGAATTTGGTTCACTGCATAAAACGAAACATTCCCTGGAGATGAAGTGTGCTGAACAGGTAAGAAATCCGAAAACTATGAATTATATTAAATCGTAAACTTTCTTATAATGTTGTTGTTTCTTTTCTTTTTTTGCTTGAAGGAAGAAGAGCTTAATGAATTAACGGATAGAATGAAACAGTTGGAGCAAACCGTAACGAGGTTGGAAATGGCTGCAGAACGAAGTCGAACGGAACGTTTACGTGATTTGGAAGCTAAGGATAATGAAATCGATGAACTGAGGTCGCAGTATCAGAGACGTGTAAGATTCTGGTTTTTAATTTTTTTTTTTTTTTTTCAATTTATCATTAATTTTTGGTGTTTAGAGAAGAAGTATCCCGTAATTCTTTCTCTTCCAGATTCGAGCTTTTGAAGAGCAAGTGGCAGATTTACAAGACACGAATTCATCTTTAGTAAAGCAGAATCGTATGTTAGAGGGACGTACACGTGATATAGATAATTATAGTGTTGGGTGAATTATAATTTGAATCCATTTTATGATGTCTGCCGACATTCTTTTTTTCTGTTAAATGGTGATTCTATTTCATTGTTTGCTTTCAGTTTCGAAGCTTCATCAACTCATTATAAACGTGATTTGAGGAAAGCTTTAGCTTTATTGAGGGATACACAACGAGTTTTGGCTCGAGAACGAGAAAATTCTCTAAGTCAATCGATGATTTGTCAAATGCAAGAGCAACTGATGGATGCTGAAGCTGCAAAATTAAGTGCGCTTCGAGGACGTCATTCTCTGGAAAGTGAACTTGCTGAGGTTAGAGTTCAGGTAAGCAAAACTTCACCCCTTGCGGATCACTTCTCCTTTAATCTTTCACAATCTTTATTCAAATTTTTTAGTGTATAGTGTGATTTATCCCCTTCCCTATCTCCCCCTCTCTCTCTCTCTCTCTCTCTCTTTCAATATTGAATTTTCATGTTCTCAGCAAGGTTATTAAAAATTTGCCAGTTTTATTTTTTTTTATATATTACAGTTGGAAGCTGCTTTAACAGCAAAAAATTCCGCAGAAGATCGGGCATTGGTACTTTTCAAAGAGAAAAGTAGTGCATTAGCGCTAGTTGAAGAACAAGATGAACAGGTGCGAAGTCTGCTTAAAAAATACAAAGCAGCGGTGCAGCAAAGTGCAGTTGATTCCATTAAAATTGCTGATCAATTTGAACAAGTTTGTATTCAGTGGTTGATTCTCGATTTCTTCAACTAGTTGGTTTAAGAACGGAATATTTCTTGTTGACTCAGCAATCAAATGACCTATTTTTGAACCATCTATGAAGCAATCGTTATTTTTGGAAAAATCCCATTGTAACAACACATTTTAGATGGCTGATATGGAGAAAGATAAGGAGAAATTGCGTGAACAATTGAATGATGTTTCATCAGCTTTAGAATATCATCAACAACATTCAGTTGAGAAGCATAAATTGTTATTAGCTGAACAAAGAATACGTGATTTGGAAGCGAAGTTGGAACTGGAAATTTCACAAAAACTTAGGCTTGAGGTAAATGTAACATTATTTTTGGTTCTTGGATAGTCGGTTTTTTGTACGATGCTTTCATGCTTGACGATCTTAATGACTGTCGTTAATTTGTCTTCCCTTCTTTCAAACTTTGATTTGTTGCGTACGTTATTTAATCATTTTTTATTTGGATGTATGAGAGCATTCAAGGAATTCTTATAGAATAATTTTACAGGCTTTGATGGTAAAAGCAAATGACGAAGTGGAATCACTGAAAGATCAAATTCAGGAACTAAACAGTTTGCGTGAAAATGATCTTAATATAAACCGTAAAATACGCAGAGACATAATTACTCTCCAAGAGCAATTAGACGATCTGCGTAAGAGAGAAATGGATCTTGCTCATAAATGCAAACAAGCTGTAAGTTGATATCAGTCTTTTAATATATGAAACAGTGTATTATATCTGCAGTGTATGTGTTGGGAAATCGTTTAAACTGATTTCTTGTGAAATGGTTTGGACAAATTTGTGCAAAGTTTGCATGAATCAATTTAATTGGAACCATTTCGCGTGAAATCAATAAATTTGTGGAAAGCATAACTTATTTATTTAATTTTATATATAATGTATAGCTGTGAATATTAAGTGGAAAATGTTTTTTTTTTCCTTTCTTTTTATGACTACCGATAATTTGAAAAAAATCTGACGATGATTTTTTAGGCTGTTGAACACGAGAAAATGGAAATGGAAAAACAGACCTTGATGAGGGATTTACAATGCGCCGAAAAGCGCATTGATGATTTACGGAAAGCACTAAGCAAAGATATAAGTGACAGAGAAGATGGTTCTGATGATGAGGATTTGTTTTCGATTCAGAATGGATCACTTACAGGGTATTATCAATAACTGAAACATTTTTAGTTAGTATAATTAAACTTATTCATTTCTGAGAGATTCAGTCGTGTTTATGAATTCCTTCAGTTAAAATCCCTCATATGCCACTTAGTATGTTGTCATATTCTTATATATGTGTATGCATGTATGTATACGTACATATATACACATGTATATGTTTGGAAGCATGAGAATACAATATTATGTTATTATGACACAGTTGAAGCTATTCTTGATGAATTAATGTAAGAGTTGATAGCACTTAAGATGATAAGAAATGAAGTCATTTATTTCCAACTGATGAATGACAGTTTGAAGTGCAAATATATCACTTATTATCTGAGCAAAAACATCTTTCATCACTGAATACCTTAATTGGTCTTTGATTCTTTTTTCAGCATGAGTCGTCTCTGAAACGACTTATCAATGTTTCATGCTTGTGATTTGCGATGTGCAAAATCCTCGCACTTTAATTCCAAATTATAATATATATACCATCTTATGTCTTTGTTACCTTGACATTTAAAAGCTTACCTTACCTGGTCCTTAAATTATTCTTATTTATTGATGATTCATTAAGGTTTTCTTTGAAACAGTCATTTTTATTTGTAATAGTATATCGTTCTGCATAGGAGAACAACTTTTCTTTCATTATGATGCAGCACTGTTAGTTTCTGCATTGTTCCAATTTGAAATGAGTATCCGTTTCAATGTTCTGAACAAAGAAAAGGGCAATCTAAGAATTGAAAGGCGCATTGCAAATCTTACGTTTCTGCATGCAAAAATGATGAAAAGAATGAAAAAGTTAAGGGCAAAAAACATGCGATAATTTCTTATTTCAAAAGTTAAGAAAGTAAGATGAAGTTCTCACCAACTCAAAACTTAAAATTACTGTTGTTTTAAATTTTGTAAAACTGTATTTTTCATATACTTCATAATGCTATTGATCGAAAATTTACTCTGATTACTTTTGCAGTTTTACATGGTTGTATGATTTAGGTTGTGCATTTTGTTATTTTGTAATTGCAGTATTCTCAAATTTTAAGGTTATCATTGTATCATTATAAGATTTATTTGCAACTAAAATTACAAAGATGGGGAATATTAATGGAGTAATCTATTTCGGTATTGATTTTTGTCTTTAGAATAGATATTCGTCTATTTTATAACAGCGTTACATCAATCTCAGTGCAGTGGTTTGAACTGTCATTGCCAGTGCATTTAGTAATCTTACATACCTGTTATTTCATTTCGACGGTATTGAAGTTTTGCTTTCTTCAATCAAAGCGGCAATTCTTTTCCAGAAATTGAGTACAGAGTTGAAGTTATATCACCGATAGACTGTAGCGTCCCTACTTGGGTGGTTTATCAATCCTTGTTTTCGGTGAGCGAATTTGATGTTATTGAAAGAACATTGAACGGAAGACAAGATTCTCCTAATTAATATCAGCAAGATATAGGGTTTGGTGATGAGTTGTTTGGAATATCTTCCAATAGTGGAAGAAAATCAGTTCTAGGTTTTTTTTTTTTCCTTTTTTGCTTTTGAAGAAAACTTTTTTAATTTGCTTGTTGAGATTTATGGCTTGAGATTTTCCCAACAAATCTTCAAGTTAAGATTGAAGGTTTAGATGTGAGAGATATAGTTTTCAGGAAAAAAAATCAACCGAACCGCAGTTGTTCGGAAATTTATATACGTAAATATAAGTACTACATTATCAATAACAATGGATGTTCCTGATTTCTTTCTTTTTTACGGGTTCTTTTCTTCATTGGTTGTTTAAGATTTCAGCTGGAATAGTGGTTTATTATAACATATAACAAAGCATATTAGATTAGTTACTATTTCTTTACAATATTAGAAATCAAAGGTAAACAAATAACAGCTCGATTATCACTGTGCATGTAATTTGAAATATTAGAGATGCCAAACTGATATGCGAAAATCCAGTGCTTCCTTCCAAATTCATATTTTAAATACAATACAAAATTGAAATAAAATATTGAGAATGAAAGATTTGTGACCCCCCACTTAATAGCAAGAAAACATAGCATTTCTGGAAATAGTTCCACAAATGAAGGCGTAATAGGAAATTGTATTTGAAAATATTTTGATATCTGGAATTGCATAACGGTATAGCTGATTACGAAATGTGGCCCATTTACTGATAGGCAATAGCAGATAGTTGGGTGTGAAGTTCATGTTCGATCTGGGGAATATGTTTTGTACGTAATGTCAGGAGATTTAATCTTGTGTCGTTTCGGTATTGATGGAATCGAGGCATTAGTGAGGAATACTTTTTTTTTAACTTTTAATTTCAGTTTGCCAATATAATAAAAAGTCATTAACGTCTGGCATTAGCATATCATAATTAAACAATTAGGGAATGAATGAAACTTTTGAGTTTTGGTACATTGGTTATATCAAACTTTCACACTTATACATTTGTGATTCAACGATGCACGTTATAAATGTTTTAACTTCTATCCGTTGTTTGTACTAGGAAAGCTCTTTAATCTTGCTAGTCTAAAAATTGATTTATGGTGGCAAGAAAAAAAAAAGAGAAAAAGAAAAGGAAAAGAGAGGAAGTTGTTTCTTTGCACAAGTAAATTTATTGGAATAAATGATGGTTTACTCCGTTGGGAATTTCTCATTTTTTCAGGTGTACTCTATCATAGTTTTTCTTTTTTTGTCTAGCTTTAGTCTTCATTAATTCTAAGATTACGGAGAATTTTGCTGAACTTCTTTCAGTTCTTCACACGATTACTCGTCAGACTATTCGTGATCTTTTGAAGGAGAATAAGATTGTAGGCAGTCAGATGTAATAATGTGTCAGTATTCAGAAATTGACTTCAATCATGATTGGCTAGTTAAAGTCCCAGAATTCTTTTTTTTTTTTTGACTGTATGGCTTCTTTTTTGACCGAAAAATCTCATCTTGTTCGTTTTCTGTGATATTGGCTTTGCGAATCACGTCAAACTTCAGAAACATTGAGCTGTTATATTTCAATATTGCTTGGTCCTTTCCACTCTTGTATCGTCCTGAAATGTGCTGATTGACATTTCTTTCCTGCCAGACGTAACGCGTTTATTATAATTTTTGGTTTTTGCGTTATTGTCTGTTTATTCCTGACAAAGGTTGTGTGATTTTAGGTTTTATAAAACTGTACATTCATCGTCCTTATTGCAACAATCGTCGTATCGGAACAGCTGATTGCTTGAGTGGTAATGATTCATCACTTGTGCTATTTCTGTACGCAGAACGTTTCCATGTCGTTATTACCAAAAAATGATTTTTGAATTGCTTTGTGTAACGTTGTCAAGAACTGAAATCATCATTAGAGTGGTGGTTTCCACCATACTATAAGATCTGGTAGGAGAATCTTCCCCTATTCAATTTCTTTTCGCTTAAATAATGGGGAAGTTACTATCAAAAATATTTGGCAAACGAGAAATGCGAATACTGATGCTCGGCTTGGATGCTGCGGGTAAAACAAGTAAGCCTCATCGATTTTTCCAGAGTTCAACAAAATTTGTTGAAAATTTCTGAGATTTTTTTTTTTTTTTTTTTTGAAGATTTCCGAGACCATTATTATGGTTTAAATTTGCGATCAAATAACATTATAATTTATTAGAGGAGTTCGGCAGATCAGTTGATGTTTCGATCATTTGATTTTTTTTATTTCAGCTATATTATATAAGTTGAAATTGGGTCAGTCAGTAACAACTATCCCTACTGTTGGTTTCAATGTTGAGACAGTGACTTACAAAAACATTAAGTTTAATGTTTGGGTGAGCTTTCTTGCGTTCAAAGAAATCATTTCTTTTTCCACTCATTTTAACATCTGTAAATTTTTTTTTTAATTTGTCTTTTTTCGTAATCTCCGTTCTGCTGGAGTGGAGAAAAAAAATTTTTTTACACCTTTTTAAAGCACATATTTCTATACAGAGTGCTTCATCCCTAAACCTAGTGTTTTTCATGTGATAGTCCAAGTTAGTAACACAGATTAATTTTTTAAATTCATGAAAACGGCTTGTACTATTATTAGTAGGGCTGTTGTAGATGTGAATTGATAGTAATTACATAATGTTCATAACATTTATTTCGTCATCCATACTTTTCTTAAAAATCGAACTTGTAGGACGTCGGTGGTCAAGACAAAATAAGACCTCTATGGAGGCATTATTATACAGGTACGCAAGCCTTAATATTTGTAATTGATGCTGCCGATCGAGAGAGAGTAGATGAAGCAAGACAGGAATTGCATCGAATCATCAACGATCGCGAAATGCGAGATGCAATCATTCTTGTTTTTGCTAACAAACAAGATCTTTCAGAAGGTTACTTTTTTAAAAAAAAAAAAAAAGCTCTGAGTAAATATTTGTCTGATTCTTTTCGAAAACTCTTCACCCTTTTTTTAGAAATCTTTTTATATGATTACACAGATGGCCTATCCGATAGTGATATACAGTAACCAATAATTAAATATAATTTGGAACATGTTAGAGCATATATAAGTTGAAAGCATTGAGTGATCTTTGAAGATATCATGCTGTTTGCTAGCTCTTTCGTGCAAGCATTTCTTACAAACAGAATATTCATGCGGACCGAAGTTTCTGATTTCTAAAAGTGTAAAACATTAGTAACTCGAACCATTACAAATAAATCATCTTTAAACATCTCTGTTGGCCCAGACATCGAATTTCTCTGACATCGATTTCGTTATGCTCATATCCTGTTTCTTTATGATTGCCTAGAACTTTCTGAAAGAGTTCTCTAATTTTTAAAGCTTTCGTTTCTTTTTAGAATCATGTAATTTAATCCAGTTAAAATTGGGTCAGTGGCCTTAAATGTTTGTTAAATTACAGCGATGAAGCCTCATGAAATACAGGATAAATTGGGACTGACACGAATAAGAGACCGGAATTGGTATGTGCAACCGTCTTGTGCTACAACTGGTGATGGTCTTTATGAAGGCTTAACATGGCTGTCATCAAATTGTAAGCCCTAGTTATTGTTATCCAGTTAGCTGATGGAACTATTGTAACGTCATCCTAAGTTGCCGTCCACAATATGTTCATTTTATTTCTCTGCTGTATTTTTATATGTCAACTCATTCAGTATTCTATCATACTGTTCTAATAAGCATAATAATGACTCCACTCTTTAGCATGCCATTTCTACATATCTGACCAGAAAATAAAGTTAAAATTTCTGATGGTGCTGATTTGATCACTAACAGTAGTAGCTTATCAATTACCATTTACCATTCTCAACTTTTTTTTATGATTTTTTTTCCATCCTTTCTGACAAAATTCGTTGTGCTCAGCTTAATATTCATTCCTTTTTTGTGATATTTCAATTTCTGAAATTTCTGTGTTTCCCGTCTCATTTTGCTGGTACTTGAGAGCTACTGTTTTGAACTTATATCAATGTTTGTTATAATGACTTAATTCGGTGTTTTATTTTTATCGCAAATTTAACTTCGGGAGATGACAAGATTTCAATTTCATTTCAATGTTCGTGGGGTTAAACAGTTTTAGGAATCTAGTTGCAAATAGTGTTTGTTAACCGTGGTTCAATGCGGAGTGATATATCGTTTGAAATTATTAGTTTCCATCTCCTGTTTATGGTGCAACATGCATTCCTTAGTGATCGATATGTCTTTTTAGCATGAAACGAATGATGAATATTTAGTGAAGTAATCATCCAAAAAAATAAAGTCATACGAGACAAAACATATAATTGCTTTTTGTGACATTTTTCCTAGAGGTATCCAAAGGTTAAATTTATTCCTTAGCAGTTGTGAATAATGTAACTGTCATTACCGTGAACATCTTGTCATTTCTGTGGTCGTCGCATGTTCATTTGCATTTTGTATTTCAATTGTTTGAGTTTTCCATGCGTTCTTTTCCAGGGAACAAAGAATTGCGTTCCGTTACTTCCAAATTGCCAGAAAATGAAGTGGATTTTCTTCTTTAATTATAAACTGAAAGTGATTTGAAGCGACAACAATGACTTGGGGAACTACTATGGTGTTAAGGAAGCGTTGTACCTTGTTATAAGGAGCGTTGGTGGTAGAGATTAGTTACGAATTTCATTTGTTGCTGGATGGACATTATTCATTTTTTTTTTCTAATCCAGACCTTGAGGAAGGGCTACATGTTTGGTCACTGTGCTGGTTGTGGACATGGATGGTTTTTAGGGCAAATATTGTGGTACAAAGTGAGGGATGGGGTTTGTTTCATTAAACAATTGTGGGCTGAACGTTTTTTTGGTTTTGGTCAAGACATTTGCTTCAGCTATCTTGAGGACTAGATGATAGTTCGATTTGTCGCCCAAATATCAAAGTCAGACGATCGATTTACACGTCAGAATCGCTTCGGACTTCACCAGAGTTTCCTCTGGCTTCATCCTACTTAGGTATAGTTCACTTTCGAGTCCCAGAATATAATGCTCTACCTCCGCCCTACTGCAAGCAACAGGAATGGGGTTGTGTTACACCACGTAATATACTTTACATATACAATACAAATATATATATGGATCACATCATTATACCAAAGATAATCTTTACTTTCATTATGCTTTTTATCTTTTAAATTAGGTTTACTACCCAATAACTTGCGTATATGCTGGACTCCTTGGTCCGTGTTTCAAGACGGGTCAGATAGGTGATTAACGTCCACATCGATATATAACTTTGTTGCATACAATATTATAATATTACCAATCACTTTGACCGGTAAAGTCGCATACGATTACATGTAAATATAACTAGTAAAATTATCGATACATGTCACTATTATTTCAAGTGAAAGTTATGTGGGGGAAACTTCTAAAACATATTTCAGCACATTTAGGATCCCATCAATTGAAATAATTGGTGCACTAAATTGATTGTACTAATTTGTTAAAATGCTCTGGATAATGAAAAATAGATCAATTAAGATTGCTATCGATAATTTTCTTAATTCTATTCGTTCCCATTTCATTTTCACGCCCTCTTGACTCTCTCTTCAAAGTTCTTTGCAACTTTTCCTCATGGTACTTGTCTACTACCGGTCTCGTGGTCGTATTTAGCCTTAGATGAGGTTTACTATCCTCTTTGAGCTGCAGTCTTAAACAACCCGATCATAACTTTTCTCACCTGTACAGGTGTAGTCCTTCTGTGAACTGTAGCCTCACTCAAGGGGAATTTGGGTGTAAAAATGTTAATAATACGGTTAGTTATACCTATACGTTAAATTTCCATATAGCCCAATATCGGATTCAGCAGTAAGCTTTTTCTTTTTAACTCACCGTTACTAAGGAAATCTTCGTTATTTTTTTTTTATTGCTTCGCTTAGTTATATGTTTAAATTCTGCAGATAATCATGACTGAGACGAGATCAAAGCAGTGATGATTTGACACTGTTATTCTTGGCTTTACTCATTATTTGAAGTTTTGAAGTATTGTAAAATGATTTCTTGACCATTATTGTTCATTTATTCATTCACATAGTGCTTCCTTCTTTTATTTGTTTCTCTTGCTTTAAGGAGTTAGAAAATTGAACTAATCATTGCAATGAAAATAAATGAATAATAATAATCTTTCATTGCTTTTAATATGGAAAATTAATCTATGTGTATACGTTAATAATATATGTATATATGTATACATATGTCATTATATGTACATATGTCACAGGTTTTTAATAAAGAAATAATGTATTACTCATTTATTTGACCGCTTATCCGAGAATTTAATTTTAATTTCAGATTCTTCTCTTTTTAACCATCTGATGACTGTTGATTTATTTAATTTCTATCAAAAACAAAAAAACAAAATTCTCTCGTAACGTTTTACTTGAATGAATGAATATTATTTTTCATTAGTATTATTACTTTTATTAACACTCAAAGACATCAGTAACTAATCTGATGTGCAATATACGTTTGAAATCTTCCTGCTCAATGCCTATACAATTTGCATTATTTCTCGCAGTTAGCTGTGTTTTTCATCGATCCACAAGGCAAGTGATCCACATCTAAGAGTTGAAGTTTTAATAATAATGTTGAGAAAAAAGTCTTTTTATGGTCCAAAAATTTTGCTTCTTACATAACGACACGAATACCTTCGTCCATTTTTCCTAACACTTAGATTAGAAACCAACAAAATAGAACCAACATCCTATTCCACTATCATATGCATGCCTATCGATTTGAGTCAGATTTGAATGAGTGCTGTGACATAAATTGAGCAGTAGGGTTTGTTACCAACTACTGGAAAATGACCGTTTTTTTTTTTTTTGGTTCAGTTCAGGATATCTGATAATGTAACTTATGATATGGATGGATAGTTATAGAGACAAAGTTAAAGTACAGTTTCGGGGTCTCCAGGTTTTGAAATCGTGGCTAGCATATGCTATATTTTGCTTGTTCAATACATCTATATCACATTTCGTGTTACCTGTCGACTTGACTACATGATGTATTTCTGAGTATGACGCAAATCGAAATACTGCGATACCATTTTGAATCCTACCACTGATCGAGTCAAATAATCTTACAGAACCAATGCAATGATGCCATCATCTCTTTTATTAGAACTGTCGACGTCATATTTAGCTGTAATCTGGTAATATTTTAGTGGCAATTTAAGTCAGTTTGAAAAGCTTCTTAGCACAATGATAGGAACCAGAAAGAGTTTTTTTTATTGTTATGCAGAATATCTCTTTAAAATGAGATAGAAATAAATGAAAAAGCAGGAAAACAAAAACGATTTTTTTTCTCTTTATAAAAAAAATTATTTAATTAACGTCGACAGATTAATGCAGTCAAAAATGCGATTTATAGTTTGGAATACTGTTATATTTAAAAACACAATTTACAGTTTGAGGCAAATTTTCTTCGCTATTTTATGGAAATAAAAACGTGATAACAGTAATATTTTTCTGTTGATAATATCTGTTGATATTACTCTTTTCGAAGATGATTAGTATAAATTATATTAATCATGGTCCTTCATTATTCATTGTTTATCCTCATCATTCATGAGATTTACAGATTCACCAGTGGTCTGATTTTCAATTATTTTGTCTTAATTAACTTATCGTTGAATTACATTGATAATCTTAAACTGTATTATATTCGTTATACATTAATAATATGAATCTTAATCGGTAATATTCATCACAAGTTCTATAATACAGTGGTAAAAGAAAAAAAAAATTAAATACAGAAATTGAAATGATGAAAAACAAATGTAATAATAAAAAAAAAACAAAGTGCAATTCATATCTGAAGAACGTACTTCAAAAAAGCTAATTCTGCACTTTAAAAGTTTAATTTTTGATAGATTTTGATAAAATGAAGTAAAAGAAAATAAAAAATAAAAAGATGTGTATATATTAAAATGAGAAAAGAAAACAATCATACGGTAGTGATGATTTGATAAAATAGAAAAGAATATGGGTGTGTATGTTTGTTTGATTGGACTGAAAAATATCATTGGACTCCGCCTGCTGTCATTATAAATCATCACGAAACTAAACACTCATACAATATATATTATTACTGCATCTTAAAAATTTGGCCAGATTTAACGGTAAATGAATAATAAAAATTGTTTTTGAAGAAAAAAATTTCAGGAAAAATGTCTTTTCTTCCATTTTCCATTGATGCAATTCTTAATTCAGGTAATTTTTTTTTTTGCCTATTTATTTTATTTACAATTTGAATCAGATAATAAAATGATACTAAAACAGTTTTAGTTTTTACATCGGCAATATATTAATTGATTTTTTTTTTTGTTTGCTTTTTTTATCCATTTTTTTTTCTGTTAATCAAATTGTTAATAATTAAGAACAAAAAGCAAAGCCATAAATATAATTTATGGCTTTGTTTTTAGCTAAAACTTAATTATTAGCAGTTGTAATGAAACAATATGTTAAACTAAATTGTTTAATTAATTTTGTAACAAATGTTAGGTTCTATATTTGGTATATAGGTAAGCTATCTGAACAAATA